ATATGTATATGGCATCTGCCATATGTATATGGCATCTGCTAACAAAGGCAGCCATGAAGAGTCCTCCAGGTCCATCATGGCATCTTGGCCAAGGTCAACAGTTGGGTTACCAATTCTGGTTCTCTGGACACTTGAGCGATGCATGAGTTTCTGACCTACCCACTTTACTTTTTCCTTTCTTTTTTAATGGCATGCACTTCACAATATATATTTTTGGCATCTGCTAAACAAGGGCAGCGTCCATCATGGGGCCGGGGGACTCTTGTATCCTTCAGCAGCCATTTTGGCCTCCTCTGAGATGCTCGCCTCGGCCTCCGCCAAGATATTTCTGCTTCTGAGATGGAGGCAAGAGGGAGAGATTAATTCAGGGAGAAACGATTTCCGCCTCTGGGTCGCGGCGTACGTCAGCAGAACCACTTGCGCCGGATAAAAAAGACATGTAAATAGACGAAAGCACAGCAACGACAGTCACAATGCAGCCGCGGCTTTTATTTATTTTTTATTTTTCATTTTTCTTTTCTGGGCAGATAACCAGGCTTTCAAAGGATCGAGCCGGGAGCGATCGGACTGTGTACAGAAACAAATCTCCACAGCAATTCAAAAAACATTAAAGTTACACAACAGGCTGTAAAATGGGGCTGATCCATCCTGCAAATTTCATTTGCATTTCATCTCTCCACCGGTAAACCTCTTCACTGGTGCAGCAAGGAGCAATAATTTGCAAATATTGGCCTAAAAGGAAGAAAGAAGAAGAGGCTAAAAGGACAATTTACAGGCCAGCTGCGTTGATTTTCCTGTTGGTGCAAAGTGCCCCCAACTTTGCAATTGCAAAGACACCACAATCTTCTCTGAGTTCTCTGGGCTTTGCATTCGGGATCAATCTTGGTTTGTAATAGGATCGCCGGTTCAGAACTGTCTCAGATTGTGAGGTTTCTGGGCCCTCCTCTCTTGATACAAGACGAGATATAAATATATTAATAATACATTTGGCTCTCCTTATCCATGGATTCTTCATCCATGGATTCAGACATCCAAGGCTAGAAAATATCCAAATATATATTGTTTGCTGTTGTGTGCCTTCAAGTCTTTTCTGACTTATGGTGACTCCAAGGTGAACCTGTCATGGGGTTTTCTTGGCAAGATTTGTTCAGAGGAAGT